TTTTTTTTTGTCTAAGGATAACATGACATTGTTTTACTCTTAGAAGACAAATATAAACTACTGATCTAAAAACAAACTTGGTTAATTATACTTACTACTTGATTCTACTTTGGGAACGGACAAGTTATTATATTGAGAAAAAGAATAGTATTTGCTTTTTCATGAATGTAGAAGAGATAACAGAGATATCTTACAGTCAGGGATTGTATACAACCAAATGCACTTCTTTTACAAAGTTGTAATTATGCATATAAAACATTAATTACAAGTATTAAGCAACTGTCTTTTCTAACCAGTTGTATCAGTCTTCTCACTGTCAGTATACCATCGTACACATTTCTAGCACATTTATTTATTCAACATAGTTTGTTCATTTAGGCTGGCATCGATCTAGTTTCTATTATATACATTACTTGAAGTCAGGCACAGTACTTTGCCTAGAGCACAACTTCTACACTCACACAAGAGAATAAAAGTGAAAAAACAAACAAACAAATAGCATTTTAGTATTTTAATGAAAATAGTATGACCTTACTGAATCCCTGGAAATCTCAGGGCACCTGAAGGCTGGGGAAGCACCAGTATGAGAAGCAATGACCTAAACATCTCTCAGAGACAGAGTTGTGGGGTACTGTGTTTACTGATTTTCTTGCCGTGTAAACCTAGGCCCCAATCTTATCTTGCACTTACTATTTTGGTGACCATAACCATGTAAGTAAAATCTTTAGACTAAGAAAGATTATGGATATAAAATAATATATCACACTACACATGCTCAAGAAATATGCATTTTTTTCTTTCTCTGTTAATTGCATTGAAGGATTTCTATAAATGTTTAAGCAAAATTTTTAATACCTCTGCTCTCACAAAAGAATCATACTCAGTCAAGCCTCTTCTAAGTTTTGTTTTCCTCAGAAGTATGTTCTCTTCATTACTCTTCCCTTCTCCCATCCACACATGCTCAGAAGCAATCAATGTGAGAATTAAAGGGTACTCAAAAAAATAAATTTCCCATTGTGATACTAATTTTAAAAGATAAATGTCTCCATTTCCCAAATGTTTTCTTAATAGCCACAATGAAACAAAGCTATGTAGTTACTCTAAAGTATACATTACAGTTATTTTATTAAAATCACCTACACTATTTATTCAATTTTTTTCTATGACAATTTAGCTCACATCATTTTTTCAAAGTGGTTTTAATATTTTAACTTAAAAGTTAAAAAAAATAAGCATGGGATCTAAATTAGAAATCTAGTAAATTATAAAACTATTTTAAAATTTGACAAAAATACAACTTCATCAGTTAAGTCACAACACTTATTTTTACTGTATATTCATTCTATCAGAAAAAATAATCTGAAGAAAGTGAAAGAGTTTACAGAAACAGTAGTAGGATCTAACAATTATTCAAGTAAGAGCTTTCACTGCGTATGATTAATTCAGTGATATTTAGAAAGCTCTGAAATCATACTAATTACCATATTTGTTTTGTTAAGCATTAGTACAAATGCTTCTGCATTAGCATCAGAACAACTCCTTTCTCCGATGCTCTTCTTCCTCCCATGCCTCCCTCTCTTTGGATATAAATCAGTTACTTCAACCTTAGAAGGAAGTAGGGCATGAGTATTCTCTTTAGCACAGTCAGATTCTCTTTCACTATTCTACAGTGTCATTTACCCTCTTAACTCTGCTCTAATTGACTGAAATTGTTTTCAAAGCAAGGAAAAAAGGAATCAAGAGCTTTTAATTTAAATTAAATGATACAATTGAAGTTAGAGCTAGACTGAAAACAAAACTCAAGAGCAGAGTGCAATTATTTTGTTTCTAGCAGCTAGGTATCATAATTGTGATCTCACTAAATTTTTTTTGTCAAATAACTAAAGCTTCTCCATCTTATCTATTACTACCGTCATAGCAATCCTGAAGATTATGCTAACCTTTTACTCAGTTTCATGTTGTCAGCAGAAAACATAATTTTCCTATCTCTTTATTCCCCACAACATGCCTCATATTGGTGGTGCAAAATAAAGACTTGTCGACTAAACAATTGTTTGAATAAATACATACATACATACATACATACATAAAATAATGACTGTATGAATAATGAGCTCTTCAGGAAAATATAGATATTGTGGACTTAAAAAGCCAAAGACAATATAACTATCCATTTGGTATCCATTATCTCTCCTTCCAAAATTCTGTACAGTTATAATACCCTTGAAAAAAAATCCTTCATGTTTTCTCTGTTTTGATTAATTAATTATTCTTTTTTTTCTGAAATACAGAATTCCAGGATCACCAAGTAGTTTCATTCATGGGGTTATATTTTCCATAACAAAAAACCACTAAATCACCCGACTACCATCTACATTTTTCTATAAAACAAACCTAGCAGCAGGCTACCCATACCTACAGATATAAAACTTCATCCAAGGAAACTTTAAACATTACTGTTTTCATTTAATAAGTGTACCAGTAATCTAGGATTTTGGTTGTTGTTGTTGTTGTTATTTATGTTGAGATAAAACACTTCACATATTGCCAAGTTTGATTTGTTCTATTCCATAACTCACTAAGAAACAGTTTCTAAAGAGTTGTGTTTCTTCTAGTTCATGTTGCTGCGACTGCTTGATTACTGTAGACTTTAATAAATGTTTCTGGACTTGCACTACTATAGGATTATCCTCAAAACTTGGTAAGTATTTTTCAAACAAATTATTAGTAATACAGATACCACACCTTAGGAACAGAAATGAAACTTATTCCATAAAGTGTATTACTAAAGAAAAAAAGTCTCAATTTGCAGTTTTTAGTTTTTATTCTTATCTAATCCGTGAACATTGCAGGTATGATATTTATACATTCTAGAAAAATATTACCTCTTAATTTTATGTTCAATACACTATATACATCAACTTAATAATTATTTGATGGAAAAAATAATTCTGTTTTCAACGTTCAAAGTCTACTTACAATCCAAAGTCCATCATATTTAACTTCTTGATGGAAAATGCTGCATTCATTGGCCCACCAATCGATGCAGTTTGGATTAGTGAAATCTGGGTACACTGTTAATCCTGGCCATACCTAGAAAAATAGATCACTCACATGTATACACAAATTAAAGATAGATAGATAGATGATAGATAGATAGATAGATAGATAGATAGATAGATAGATAGATAAGAATTCAAACTAATTGAGTGGAGAATAATAAGAAAATATTCAAGTTATAATATTGTACTTCTTTAGGTATATATGATCCATGTACCATCTATGTTTACAATAATCTCAGGCCTACTTTAAAATGCATTTGAGGGAGAGAAAAGAAAGAGAGAGTGAGAACATGTAGCATTTATGAAGGGACAAATAGAAAAATATTTGAATGAGCCTGTTATTTTGTCTTCAACTAAATTTATTTCTAGCATCCTAATAGGTTGGTTAAAAAACAAACACATAATATATTCATTGTCTGATAAAAGAAAGGTAACTTTTCCAAAGGGTAACAGCTTCCAAAATTCAAGTGAAAAAACTCCTTGTATTTATTTTTTAATTTAACAAATGCAAATATGAAATTATTATGTTCTGGGCACTGTTCCAAGTATTTTTATAACTACTAACTCATTTATTCTTCACTAGAACTTTTGGAGATAAGTACTATTTTTATCATCATGTTACATATGAGGTAGGTTTAAATTAAATCCATTTTACAGATGAGAGAAGTGACAAACAGGGAAGTTAAATAAGTTGTTCAAGGTCATACCACTATAAGTGGAAGAGAAGGAATTCAAACCCAGGCAATCTCATATCAGAGTCCATGCTATTGGACACTACACATACTATGCTGCCTCTTTATGATTTATGCTTCTTCAAATTACTTTACTTATTACTTAAAATAATGACATTAGTCAATCAGAATTAAATTTCAGATAAATCGGGATAGATAATATTGTTTCATGTCCCAATTATGCATGCTGACTACCTGATCTGCCCAAACCCTACAGAGCAGGTCTTACCAGAATGTATTCTTTGACTTATTAATAGGCTTTATGGAGAGGATATTCACTTTTGTTTTCTGATAGAGCTCATAATTATTTGAATAAGACTTTCAACAGAAACTTTAACTTTGATAAATGAGAAAAAAAGTGGTAGTTAGGCTATTCTTCAGTATTTTAAATATTGTTATTATAATAAACATATTTTCATAAATTCATACTTTTTCTTGTTTTATTCTTTTTGCTAAGCCACAGAAGTGGAATTCCCAACTCCATGTATCCAGACATTATGATTTTTGATACATCTTACAAAGCTTTCTCCAAAGTAACATTTACCCTGGCTTAAAATTTTGCATTTGGGAGCTAGGCTTCTTATTAGCTCTGTGATATTAGGAAAGTTACTTCACCTCTTGGAAATTCATTTTTTCACCTGTAAATGAAGAATTTTAATCATAGCTTTCTTATTATTTTATTGCAAGGGTTAAATGCAAACCATAAAACATTACACAGGATACAGGTATTGTATATATGCATTGTTGTACATAAAATTGGCAGAACTTTATAATAATCTAAATTCTTTATTGTATCTTGTTAGCTTTAGTTTTAATTGTGTATAGCACCAAAAGCTATCTGTATTCTTACAAACACTGTTTTAGAGATAAATGGAGTATTTCTTCTGTCTGAAACTTCTCTACACAATTAAAATAGCAAATCCAGATTTGAAAGTGATTACACACACAGGCGTTCACACACACACACACACACACACACACACACACACTCAAAAACTTTATTGTAGCACGATAGAAAATCTGAGCAACACAGCTTTAATGATTATTATAATTTACCTCTCCAATAAGAGGTGTAGTCCCATCTGACTCATTTATCCACACATGTTTTTCATTTCCCCTGTTATAGGTTTCATATGCTGCTCCATTGATACGACTACTTATGGCAATTCCAGGGTCCTAACAATAGAAGAATGAGGAAAGATCACCAAGAGCAAAGATGTGTCATTAGTGACTAAGGCTAAGATCATCCACACCCTCGTATTCCCAATCACTATGTACAGGTGCAAATGTTAAACAGCGAAGTGGCTAATAGGAAAAAAAAATCATTCATTTGAAATATGGTGTTGGGGGGCAACTCTATAACCATCCTGACCTTCTAGAAAGATAAACAGGTGGGTCTTAGAGCAAATTAAGCCTAAAACCACTGAAGGCAAAAATGATAAATCTGAAGCTGTCTTACTATGGGCATAATAAAAAGCCATAGACATGAGTCTACAGCAGGCCTCAGGACTGTTGAGGACAGGACACTGGACATCACTCATTAATAGGGTCATCAGTAGTCAGAGCTGACTGAATGGCATATAACACGTATAACAGAAATAAAATAAAACTTTAGAAAATTTATTAACTTACAAAAGTATAAATAGTAAAATTGTATTAATATATAATCAGTCATTACCAGGATGATGACATATTTCTGTCCATGATTATGCAAATCTTGAACAAATTCAGGGAGCCCATTAAACGTAACTGTATCGTAAGTAAAGGCTTTCTTCTCTTCCATATAGTCAATATCAGTGACCTGTGTATCCTAAAATTTAGCAGAATATATTTAAATAAGTAGTACTGAAATAACTCTCTAATAACTTCAACCTTTAAGTTCAATGAATTTGTATTATACATATAATGCTTAAAAAAGTATATAAACTTGGATTCTTCTTATTTCACTAAAGATGCAATTATATTGTTTATAAAACTAGTGTTTCTACTTCTAAAGTACAAAAGCATTATGATTACTGTCATTTATTTCAATAGTGATAATTATATATTATGAAATGTCATTCTTTGTATAAAAAACAAAATCCTACACATTACGTAAAGTACATTAAATTTGTATTATATTAAAAAGTATATAAGCTCTAAAAATAAAGTCTACTAAAAAAACTAAATATGATTTTGTTCACAGTTAAACATGTATTCTGTTATAATGTAACTCATAGTCAGTTCTCAAAATTTCACATACATCTGGACATTATTTAGGTCATAAAATGTACTTAATTATTAAAGAGCAGCTTAATGATGCATATATATGTGTATATCTATATATGATTTCCTACATTTTATTATGTGACAATATTTAACTTGGTATACCTTCCCACAAACACTTTACCCCACTTACAAATGGTATGCCAGCATCCCGATTTCTTTTTACCACTTCTTTCACTACATCAAGTGACTTATAATTCCAGCGACTCAATTGGAATCCAAGATTCCAGTACGCTGGCATTGCTGGTCGTCCAATGAGCTTGAAGTAAAACACATTTGGTAAATTTCAATACAGAACATTAAAAACTAATATTAATATGCTTCTTATTATTCTGTTATATCTCTACCATTCTTCTCAATTTAATTACATATTTCAAACAAATATTTAGAGTTATATCATTCAAAAATGCATCCTGGGTATTCTGTTAGAATTTTGTTATTAAACACTAAGTTTATGTTTTGTCACTCTTCTTTATTTTGCATTGAAGAATTAGAAAGCTATCACATAAGAAAGTAGCATTTACAAAGGTATATTTTGCTTAGCATGGAAAGTCAAAAAAGAGAATAAGAGAACAGCGTCAAAGAGAGAAGAGAAAAAGGAAACTGTCGGACAATGCTTCCACTTCTGTAGCAATGAAACGAATGCACTGAATGGTCATCATGCAAGAAAAAAGATGTTTGAAAGTACACAATTTCTTTTCCCTTACATTTTTGGCACTTATTTTCTCCTAGTTTTCAAAAATATTAATAAAGTATATGTTCTACAAGGCTCCCACTCAGTTATTTCATAAGGTGCTTAGCTCATTCACATGTAGGCCTTGACTTCTTCTCTCCAAGGGGCCAAAGGGAGCCCCTTCTCCCACTTCTTCGGTGGCCCAAGCAGGCTCAGTGTAGCCCGCAACACAGTATCAGTGTCTCATCACAACAGAGGACATGATTTTGCACGTGGAAAAATGTGTGCAGCTGATATTAATTTTTTTCACTAAAAACTGAGTATTAGGTTACATTAAGACAAATGCTCTTATTTCGTATGATGGATATTCTTTGGTTTAAGCATATACCAGGGGGTGCCCAAAAAATGTATACAAGTGGTCAATGTTGCTCAAGCAGTAGTTTGCCATAAAGTCAAATGTGACTTGTATTCATCTCTTGTTATTGGCATAAATTGAGTATTACAATTTTAATAGTTTTTCCCTTTCTTAAAATGTGTATACATTTTTTTGGCATCCTATGTATGTGTGTATGTGTGTGTGTGTGTGTGTGTGTGTGTATTCCATGATTTTTCCATCATGTATGTCTAAAAACTACTATGTAAATTTTTTAATACTCACAATTGGGTTATTGTATTTTATTCAATTTAAGCATTAAATTTATTTTTAAAATAACATAAAACAAAACTCTCAAAATAATCAGTGTTTTAAAACAGTTTTTATAAACATCTTAATGTTTTGTTAAATTCCTTTAAAGATTTAGATATGTGATTGAAATTTCTTTGTGAGTATACGTGTTGTGTGTATTATATATGACATGAATTGTATTTATAAAAGTATATAAAATATTTATTATATATTATATTAATTTATATATTATTTAATTTATAATTTATATGTATACATTGTCTTTAAAACTTATAAAACTATGTGGATATTCAAATGAATTATGTTTTAAAGTTTAACACATTGAGACCATTAATAGGTTAGCTTATACAAAGAGGACAATTTATTTTTCCTCAAGGAACACAATTTCTTTTGCCTACTCTCTACATAATTTGAGCCTAATTTAAATGCAGCAGTGATTAATGGTGCTATATTCTACACCAGTATTTTATGTTGTTGCTTAAATTCAAATTTCTGCTAGTCTACTCATGAAACGGTATAAGCCAAAGTACTACTATACTATATGAATGCTTTATTCACATGTCAGGTATGACTCAAACTCAACTACTACTGATCACAGGCTTCACTCAATATGTAATAGGCAACTATCCCAATGAATATTTCACAAATAAATGTTAAATTTCTTCAAAAAATGAGTTGTCCTGTTTTGTTGGTGTGATAACCATATACTAAGTCTGTATATAGGCCAGCCTAGCAGTGGAGTTATGATTTCATATAGCAGAGACTGTATGTTTTGTGTTCTTTTCTGGAATTTACATTTATAAACAGCAATTTGGGAATTGTGAGACATTGTACAATAAATTATTCAGTTGTGTAAAAGCCTAGCTACTCTCATTTTAGGCTTTTGAATCCTAGTTAAAGACAGTTTTTTATCGTAATTACTTCTCTTTTGATATTATTTTAGGAAATTGTATTATATGTCAAAATGCATATCAACAAAACAAGATTTTTAAAAGAGGCATCATCCTTAAATCTTATACCAACAAAAATAATTTATTTTTCAATGTTAACACCAGAGATTATATATACCAGCATTTACAGGAAAACAATTATATGGAAAAAGTTTCAGTATCAGGCTCAAGGGAAGCCCTGGATTCTTCATCCCTCTAAGGTCCATCTTGTGTGCTCAGGTACACTAGAATGTTATTTAATAGGGAAGTGGAAATTGCTTAAATAGTAACCTTAAGATTTAAGACTTCAGACTGTGTTTCAAAATCTGCCCTTCATAGCCTGAGTGTCAGAGCCAGTTTCCCTGGTGCTTGTTTACCTACTGTGCATTAACAATAATTTCCACTAGTCTTCCTCAAAATTTGGTTGCCTCTAGGATTTCTATCATAGGGATGCATGATATATACATCCATTGCCTGTCCTCAGTCTTGAAGATAAGACACTTTCTTATAAAGAAATCTAACTCCTGAACTCAACTGCCTAGAAGCATGAAACAATTTTATATCAGAAATACAGATATTTAAATAAACATAGGCTTCACTGTACAAAAATAAAAAAATAAAAACCACTTACTCATATCTTAAAAATGGTAAGGTTTAAAAATATATTTAGCTAGCAGGTCCTAGATATCTTAAATAAAGTCATTTAAATATATGGACATGTTAGATGAAACAAATTATGGTAGAAGAGAATTTTATAAAATTGACTCAAAAGACACCTCTTGATACTGTTGAACTACTTGCTCTGGTGTATCTCCTAGGAAGATGTAAAAGTCCAGAATGCCACCAGTAATTCTGTAAGTTACTATTGGAGTAGGCTGGATGAAAATCTCTACAAAATAAAAATTGGGAAAGCATATGTATATAGTAAAAAGGTACAGAGTGATAAAATAATTGCAGTAACTATTTAAATTGCTTTGTATTACACATAATTATACATTGTTTTTAAATAAAATTATGAGGAAATAAGATATTAAATATAGGAAGAATACAAGAAAAAAGTAAAATGCCACATATATGAGGGTTACAATAAGATATTGGAGATGTTTCCTTTTATGGATGTTGGCTATAGCTTTCCTGAAAATTGCATAGCAAGGGACAGAGAATCAATCTTCACAACAAAACTATTTCTTTCCAAAATTGCATTTCAATTAATTAGTTTAATTAAAGATTATCTGAAAGACCGTATCATTATGTTAATTTCTGAGAAAAAATATACAATTTGATTTTTCTATATGTAAAAACCTGATTTTTCTATATTACTTTCTAAATCAATCACCTTGATAACCATATAATACTACTGTTCTTGCTAGACTATTATTAATCCTGTGCCTTTTTATTCTCACTGATCTACCTATTAAATATAGGTATTGCACTCACATTAAAAAGAACCCCAAAGATTCTACATTACTTGAATTATTATAAACTAAAAAAAAAAAAATCTTCATTCTATCCCCATATATAGACCTTTCTCTTTCTTATTTGTAGTGGCAGGCTAAGTTATTTTAACAAATGAGGCTGCAGGAATTGGAATATTCATTTGCATGGATGTGTTTCAATGTTGCTCTGAAGGAAAAGAAAAGTGTCTGAATATCACAACATAGCATACTCTCCCTAAAACAGAGCAACGATATGCAAAAATACTTTGTCTCACTAACTATAAAACCTGCTTATAATGATTTCACATACTAAATCACTAACAATAGAGTTTATTCTGATATATAATATCTATGATTGGAATAAACAGAGTAATTATAACATTTCAAGATAAATCTCACTTAAATATATTATTAAATAAATTACTCTTACCCATCGCATTGCTGTTCATTAAGAAAACACCGAATGACTTTCCAGAAGTTTCTTCAATGCACATGAAAAACGTTTGATGGCCATATAAATTATTATTATTCTATAAGGCAAAATTTTGAAATAAGAATTTTTAAGTCTATTTAAAATAAAAATATTACATATTTAAAATGGCCTTTACAAACTCAATTGTGTCTGTAATTTACCTCCCACACTCTATACTAATTTTCTCATGTGAAACAGTGTAGTACAAAAGCATCTAACATTTTAATTGTAATATATTAAGATATAAAATCTATGTTATACTATTAATAGATTACTTAATTGTGCTTATGCTTTATTATGATTCAATTAGTTTTAATACGTTGTTCATAATAGAGTAATGGCATAGTTAGCCATTATGTTCCATGGATACCCAAGGCACTGCAGGGAAATCCCAGTGATGTCCACCCTCATAGAACTTTTGCAGTGCATTATTTGTTGAGCCCCAAAGAGTAGATGAAATGGTGAGGCAAACTGAAAACACACTCATAAGGCAAAAGAAATAAGACTTCTTGGATGATTGGATATGAAGTTTCAAATGAAAGAATGTATGAAAAATAGCTATGAAGTTCTGTCTGGTATTAATTACGTGTTTATTACAGATAGTGATGCTGTAATAAACAGGATCAAGGATTCGTAGAATTTATTAGTGGCTCTGTACCAAATGAGGTTTTTTTTTAAAATCAACTCAGTTATTCATTTTGGGGAATGAAATAGTTAACACTGACATTTAAAAAATTACTAACATTTGAGTCAAAGCAATCATGAATTAATAAAAAATAATGTTTTAAATGGTCTGATCTTTGTCCTGAAGAGTCTCATATTCTAGAAATATTGACAAATGCATACACAAATCATACACTGTGATAAATGTCATACTAAAATATGAATAAATGGTTGGAAAGAAAATACTAATTGTGCATGGGATGGTTTGAGAGTTCATATGAGGTGAAACTTCAAATGAGCTCCGAATGACATTGTATAAATGATAAAGAACTTCAAGATTTAGCACTTACAAAGAGAACCAAACCCCTGTGCAAATATGTGAACTCACAGAAGATCTTCATATGTCATGGGAGAGAAAGAAGTGGGCATAGATGCCTGATATGATGTCTAATAGATAGGCAGATACCATATCACACAAAGACATGTATAACATGGCAAGAGTTTTGAATTATTCTAATGCAATGACTAACCATGAATAGGTTTAAATACAAGACTGAAAGAAAAGAAAAGAAAATGTAAAAATTAAAATTAAAAGAAAACATTCATAAACTGATAACATCTATTGAAACATTCATAAAATCTGTTGGTCACTTACTGAGCTAATTTAGGACTTTTATCAATTGTCACCCCTATAGTAAATAAGCTTCTGGATTAGGTATCACTGGAGGGTTTCAAATAGGCTAAAATTACCATCTGCTCCAATACAATGATTTATTTACAACAAGAAATACAGTTCCTTACATCACCAGGAAGTTGATCCCGGGTAAAAATTGGCCATGTTTTCCAATATAAATCATGACGAAATCTCTTATGGATATGTTCCCCAAGACCATACATATATTCAGTGGGAAGTCTGGTGGAGATCTGTAAATACTGGTCAGAGTACACCAGGGGACCGATACTGGTGTCAAACCTGTATCATGAAAGGAATAAATACATGATCTAGCAATATATAAAATATTCTATTAAATATGGGTCTATGCTGTCATCCAGAATAGTTCATTTTAAATGTCAATCGTTAGCTGTGGTCACTTCGTAGGAACACATGTTACACACAATAACCAGAACTTGTTAATTCCATCAACAAAATCTGCTTCATCTTCACCAGTATAACCCTTCACATACATTCTTTCCCTTAATTTGCATCACAATCCTAAAGCATAACCACCTTTATCAATCCCATTTCACAAATGATACAAATTGGGAAAATCAATTCATGTTTTCTAAGGTGACAGACTGGTAGGCAGCAGAGACAGGTTTCGAACGCAGTTTTGCCTTGCTCCAGAGACAGGGTTTTAAAATACAGTACTGTACTTGCTTCCACATCTCTAACACATGTACTAAAATTAAGTTCAAAATCATTTTCCCAAAAAGAAAACATTTGTATGTTTTATCAATATCAAATATATGCATATACTATGAGAAATTTTAAAAGACATTTAATATTTTTGTGATGGAACATAAAGTCGATTGCGAATTATGAAAATATATGTAAGAACAGTCATTGCTGAGTTTTGATCTTGACAACTGATTAATTAACCTCTCTTGGAAATGCAAGAGAATTTACCTTGAAAATTACTAAACTCCCTTCCACAAATAGCTCTTACAATACATTCAAAATGAACGCATTCAAGACTATATTGAACTTAACATATATAAATAAGGAAAGGGCTTTAAACATTACTTTGAAAATTAACTCTTCTCTGAATAGTAACTATTTAATCCTACGAATTGATCCTACAGAACATGATAAATAATAGGGAAAGGACAAAAATAGGTGTTCTAGGTGCACAAAAATATAGGCAAGGCTAAAATTGTATCAGTGATGCTTTCCACCTTCAGCTTTGGTTGGCCCCAATGTCCATATTTTCATTAACGGTCTTGAACCTTTCATCCACAGGAAATAAAACCCCTTTACCATTATATCTTTACAAAGGTGTGCACCCACCCTCTTTGGGGAAGAAAGTTATTCTTTCTGAAAATGACTTAAAATTAAGATTTTTCTAATTCTATGATAATAGAATAAAATTGAATAGTTATTTAAACTTGCATAATTGTAAAATTAGATAATTACTTACAAAGTTTTTTTAGTGCTTTTTCTAATAACTTTGATGCTAAATGGATTTTCTGCAACTGTCACATCATACAGTGTATCAGAAGCTGCAGGGCCATTAAATTCTTTTACAAACTCATGAGGAACTTCATATCTTCTATTGTTTGGATCAGTAATCTGCAAAGATTTAAACAAATTGGCATATACTTGATTGAAAACTGTTATTTAACTGTCCAATTCTGAATTTATTAAATGCAAGTTCCTAATACAAAATAATAATTTAATAATTTTATGGATGAGCTATCAATCTAGTCATAAACTTAATTTTAATACTGTTAAATAGCTGTGCGCATGATTAACTGTGTAAACTGTTAAGGAATAAATACAATTAGTTCTTTATAAAAGAGCTGTATATAAAATATGTCTGTTGACTGGTATAAAAATGATAAAAATATTACAAAACATTGATTCTTAAACACTAGATTTTTGTGAATTTAATTATCCTTGTTGCTTCTCAGTGTTCACACCCTTAGAAGTCCCATAAAGGTTTCCAATTCTGTTTTTATTAAAATCTCTTAATTCCTGTGAAATTGTCACTAAAAACATAATATACAAAGGATACGGTGGTGTTTTCACTTCCACATCTAAAAGACCATACTAGCAAACTACTTGCTAACAAAACCCCACAGAAATTAGTTTCTTTAAAAACATGAGCATAACTGATACCAACAAAAAAAACCTGGTGAGTGTGAGTCACACTTATACAGCACAATTAACATTTTTCAAATTAAATTTTAAATTAATCCTTAATCATAGTCTGTAGCTGAAATAATAAAAATTACTAAAGGTTCTTGAGTGTATATTCTTCGCAAGATATTATATCAAATGTTTTACATTGAACTTACTATTCAATTGTCCTAAAATAACAGGCAGGGACTATTTCTTACATTTGAATAAATAGGTTCAGAGAAGTCGAGTAACTAGTCTAGTTAGTCCTTTGCTTTAGAATAAATATTTCTTGAGAGAGAACCATCTAGGTAGGGTGAAGGGTGTGCTCATAACACTATTTTATTATTAACTCTTTTATAGAAATCTCAAAAAACAAACCTTGAACCGGAAACGATTGGGTGTCTGATTTTGAGTTGTTAAACGAACAGTGTTGATGTCATTTCCAAATACAGTAGGTGAAGATATCCTGTTTAGTGTGGCTTCAACTCCTTAAAGAAAGAGAAAAAAATTGTGTTAGTGATGCTTTTATTTATAAAGGTTAATAATTATTAAATATGTTTCTTATTTGCATAATTTTATTGCCTTTATCACAAATAATGGCTTTTTTAATTTGGAAGATACAATCATGAAAAAATAAATCCTTAATATAAACAATCTGAACATTCTTGTATGCATACTTTCCATTTGACTCTACTTAAGATATTTTCCAAAGAAAAAGTTAATACATGATTCTTTCATTCCATTTAAGTATATTATATTGGATCACCACAACAGAAGAATTCTCACCAGTATCTGTTTTTGTAATTGTCTCAGCATTATAGCCGTGGTTATCTACGAAGAAGCACCAAGGAATACCAGAATTATTCCATGGCCTCCAGCAGCAACCTCGCATTGCACAGATGGACTGATAAAACATTTAAAAAGGAATCACATGATTAGTACTATTATCGTATGTGTTAGTCTCTATTTTTTAAATGTTCATTCATTCAAACATTTACTTGAATTTATTTTAAAAAGCAAGCTTATTTCTTCATATACATAATATGTTACAAATCACTTATTTCACTTGGAAGAAATAAATATTTGATGGATTGAATTAATTACACCCTATCAAAGATTGATGCTCTGAGTTGTGATTTATCAAATTTACATACCAGTGCACATTATTGTAAACTCATGTATTTTAAAAGTTCCTGCCCTCTGGGTAATTATAATCTATTCTGTTGTCATACAGTCAATGCAAAAGAACTGAAATATTTATGTGTACCAATTATGTATCAAGCTGCAAGTGAGGCTATCAAGAAGAATATATGGCCCTACATAAAATGTTTGAAGTATTTACTTCTAGCTAATTATTAGTTCAATATTTACTTAAGTTATTTCAACTAGTTTATGTGCCAGGTGTTCTAACCAGTTACTGCCATTGCATGCAATGAACGAAGCAAAATACTGAATTCTCAGTAATTTTATGATCTATATGGAAAGACTGTGTGAAGTGGAAGAAAAATGATATATGGTTATATAAAAGTTGGGCTACATTGTGATGTTATGTGTTAACACTGGTATAATTAAAAATCTACTTAGTATTTAAACTTAATACTGTGATACACTTCATAATTTGAAAACCTATAATTTTTTATTTTATCAGCTATTTGACTTGGAAAAAAGTGAAAACCTCCACTTTTAGTAGCTGACATTATATATGTTAACGTCTCTCCTATTTAACATCAAATTAAAATGGCATCAGATACACATACATGAGTGTGTGTGCATGTACACGTGCACACGAGAGCACACACACACACACACACACACACAAACATATATATTGCGAATGAGAATATAATTAAAGCTGACCTTTTTGCAATCTAAAGTATGTGTGACTTTTAGTCAGGCAATTTTATCTCTAATTATATAACTTATAGAAATAGCCCAGCAATACAAAGAAATAATTGTATAAAAATTGTCATTCGCAATAGTCTTCATATTTTTTAGTGTTGATGCAAAATGAGAGGTAGAATTAGACATAGATATACTGATTTGGAAAGGTACAAATGTGCTAAATTTTAAAAACAAGAGATAATAAGCAAATCATACCTTGCTAAAATAAAATATATATCTATTTAGTAAAATGAAGTTACAGGAAATTGCTCCAAACATACTGCATTAGTTTCCGACAGCTGTCATGACAGCCATGAGCAGGGTGGTTTGAGTCAATACAAATTTATTCTCTCACAGTTCTGCAGTCTTGAAGTCCTAATTCAAGGTGTTAGCACAACCACGCTCCCTCTGAGGCTCTAGTGAAGAACTCTTCCTTGTCTGTTCCTAGCTTCTGGTGGCTCCTGGCAATCTTGAGCAGTCCTTGATTTGAACATGCATTATTCTAATCTCTACCTCCACCTTCACATGGCCTTCTTCCCTGTGGTTCTCTGTGTGTCATCCCCCATCTTATAAGGACACCAGTCATTGGATTTAGGGCCTACCCTGATCCAGCATGACCTCATCTAACTAATTACACATGCAAAGACCCTATTTCCAAATACGGTCGCATTTGGGGCTCCAAGTAGACTTAAATTTTTGTAGGACATCATTCAACACACACACACACACACACACACACACACACACACACACTACATAGATATATGTATATATATGGTCTCAAAATATTAGTTTTAAAATGTATATCTCCATCGTTCCTTTTCATATATTAATAATTTTTATTTTGTATAGATATTGATAGTTCTTATTTATGTTTAGTCCTGCCTATTTTTCAGGATTTGAGGCATTCTTTTACTTTTAATTCCTAATTTATGTTCACTTTTTTTCTTCTTTATTTGAAAAAGCACAAAAAAACCCACTAATCATTAACCAATAGGCATAAACTTTAGCAGGTAAAAATAAAATGAATTCATTTTCTTATTTTACGTATATGTAAGTACATATAGAGAATTATATGTAATCATATTGGGTTGTCGGAAAAGTCATGACACATTTTTGCAACAAACAACATAGAAAAAATGCATCATGACTTTTCCGACAACCCAATATATAATGGGAAGACTCTCTGTTATGGGCTGAATTGTGTCCCCCCAAATTCATATGAGGAAACTCTAACCTCCAATGTGACTGTGTTTGAAGATAAGGCCTTTAAGGAGGTAATTAAAGTTAAATGAGGTGATAAAGACTGGGCTCTCATCTGATAGGACTGGTGCCCTCATAGGGGAGGAAGACTTGCAAACAGCCAACAGGTGATATGAAATGATGCTCAACTTCACTAGCTATTACAGAAATGCAAATCAAAATATAATGGGATACCACCTCACACCTCTTAGAATGGCTATCATCAACAAGTAATCAAAAGTGTTGGAGAGGCTGTGGAGAAAAAGGAACCCTCATATACTGTTGGTGGGAATGTGAATTGGTACCGCCACAATGGAAAACAGTTTAGAGTTTCCTAAAAGAATTAAAAATAGAGCTACCATATGACCCAGCTACCCCTCTTCTGGGTATCTACCCCAAAAATCTGAAAACATTTATCTATAAAGATAATATATATATATATATATATATATATATATATATATATATATATATATATTCCTATGTTCATTGCCGGTTCATTGCTGCATTACTCACTGTGGCCAAGACATGAAAGCAACCAAAGTGTCCTTCAATAGATGATTGGATAAAGATGGAGTACATATACACAATAGAATATTACTCAGCCATAAGAAAAGATGAAATACTACCATTTGCGACAACATGGATGGATCTTGAGATTATCATGCTAAGTGAAGTAAGTTAGGCAGAAAAAGTAAAAACCCTATGATTTCATTCATATGTGGGATATAAAACTGAAAGCAACAAATGAACAAGACAAACAAAGAAAAACTAACAGACACAGAAAACAGTTTAGTGGCATCTGAGGAAAAGGGAGAAACAGGGGAGAAAGAAAAAGGGAAAGTGGGTCAAATATATGGTAACAGGAGGAGATTTGATGTTAGATAGTGAACACACAATGTACAGGTGATATATTATAGAATACTTTACTTGAAACTTATATAATTTTAGTGATCAATGTCACCCCAAGAAATTTATTTTTTTTTTTAAAAAGGGGAAAAAAAAGAGGAAGAGACATTACAGCATGCTTCCATTCCTATCCCTATCCCTATCTCTCTCCCAAAACATGAACAGAGGAAAGGCTATGTGAAGACACAACAAGAATGCAGCTGTCAACAAGCCTGGAAGAGAGATCTAACCTGAAACCAACCCTGATGGCACCTTGCTTTCTACCCTCCAGAACTGTAAAAAAATAAATGTCTATTGTTTAAACCACCCAGCCTGTGGTATTTTATTACAGAAACTAATATACCCTGGGTAGAGTTACATATGTTTCTTAAAATACCATTTTAAGTTCACCCTCTTTACTTAAATCATAAATATATAATATATTAGCTAAAAATTGTTAAATTCATGAATTTAATTTGTTTCACATTTAGGATACTCTTTAGCAACCTGAAAGGCTGACATTAAAGACTAATAGTAGGCATCAAGACTTTACACCACTGGCTGTTAAATGTTTCCCTTTAAGATCTTAGCAACTAATATTTTTCCTAACAGATTCTATGTTAAACTTCAACCATTTCCTAAGGAAAATATTAGCTAAAAAGAATACCTGTCCAATTTGCTCAGCATGTCACAGTAAACACTATGTTATTTAGCTCTTTTATCAGTTGGTAAGCAATAAGACCCACTACTATTCCTAATGTCATACTAAGAAAAATCTCATCTATTTGCAACTTTTCATAGTGAATTAATCAGAAAATTATGTGTTAACTATGATGTAGAAATGGTAGGATAGAGCTAATAGAAATTTTATAGTACATTAATTTATCTTGCAGGTGGTGGAGGGAGTGGGAGAGGTAAGATTCATATATGCATATTATAGATATATGTTGTAAATATATAACATAGTTATGCATATTATATGCATATAATAGAAATATGTTATATATTATAGATATCCCTATTATATTATAATAAATATATAATTTTAATACATAATGTATAATAGTATTTAATATAATGATCAATATATATTTAATGTATATAGGAACAATACATTATAGATATGCAAATAATAGATACATATTGCAAAACGTGAATACACACATACACACGAACACACTTCCCTTGACCTTTATTCCCATGCAGGTTATGAAGACCAAGAAAAAGTCAATTTAAGGTTACTTGAATCTATTCAGTTACCCTTAACTTTTTCCATTTCAACTTCTCTCAAATCACCAAATAGTAAAAAAATTACAATTTAAAAAAAATTAGCATTACTTTATTTTTTCTATAGATACCTCTTAATGCTATCATTTCAAATACAGTACAATCTTGGTTTGCGAGTGTTCCACTAGACGAGCAAACATTTCTATTAGGTTGGTGCAATAGTAATAGCGGTTTTGACATTACTTGCAAAAACCACTATTACTTTTGCACCAACCTAATAATACATTTAACTTGGTAAATGAGTGATGTCTTGCAATGAGCAGTTTGTTTCTGGGACAAATTATGCTCACAAACAGAGGTATTACTGTACTCAAAAGGAGTATAGATATTCTCTCTCAAATGTTCTATATCATCAAAATTTACACTTTTTATTTTATTTAAGAAGTCAATTTGAGAGGATAGAATTTTAGGAAGGTTTGTAAAATTAACAAGAGCTTGTTAAGCATAGAAAACATTAACTTTTTAAATTTGAATTGAACATAGATACAGAAAAGCAAGTTCAATAATTTCTATTATGTTTCATCTGTTTATTCAGAACTATAATAAAAAGAAATGCAGCCTAATTGATGGTTGCATCTTTTATTATATGGAATTGATCTAATATTGAGCAACTATATTAATAGTTATTATAAAATATATTTGTAAAAAAATATTAAAGACTTGATGTAGACCTGTGTTGGAAATTGTTCTGGAATGCAATTTATTCTCTCATTGATAGGATCATGTAGCACACTCGGACATTTTCCTGAACCAGGATACACAGTGGGTGTAGTAGTGGTCGTACGAGTAGTAGGTGAAGTTGAAGTAGAATCACTACTTTCTGGAAAAGAAAAAGGTCAATCACATATAACATGGTACCAAATTATCTTTTTCGTATTTTTCAATTAGTGAATACTTTACATTGAAATAATACATGAATTTATCTACAATGAAAATAAAAATAAAGTTGGCATTAAAATAGAACCCACAAATTCAAGTCCTAGTCCTCAACAGGAAAAGATCCAAATGATATTTTAAAATTGACTATGCAGAACCCTGTTGACTCCCTCTTTAGAAAAACAAAATATATTCACAGAATGTTTTGAGGTATATTCAAAAGGAAACAAAATGTATGTTCCCACCATACTTACAATTTGTGTCTCATAGATGAAAAAAGAAGATGAAGAAACATGGATGGGAAAACAATTAAAGGAGATGGGAATTAAAGGAGGAAATAGAAGTGAAAAGAAGAGCAAGCAGGGAATACAAAGAAAAGTTAAGTCCCAACTCTATATAATAAAGAGGAACTTTCTAGCAATCTGATATGGGTCAGATAAAATTGATTGCTTCTCAATGTATCGAGCTTTTGGTTTACTGGAAGGAGGGAAAACTAAAGACTAACAGCTGTAGAAAATCCTAACTGTGATAACTTTGAAGATAATTTAACATGATCTCCAATTTTGATTGGTCAAGTGAAAATGATGAAAAAAGAGAAAGTAGATTAGGTGAACCAGAGTAATATGCATTGACTCTAAATTAGGACAGAACAATTTAGAAATAAAGATAAACACCACAAGCCTTGTTTCACGTGCCCCCCTCCTTTTTTTCTTCTCATACAACCTCTTTCCTTAAATAAACAAAAACAAAACCTTGAGCCTAAGACAAAGAGGGCATTTCCTCCACCAACCCACCCCACTGCGCTACCCTCACCCTCACCCCCACCCCAGTTTTGCAAGTTTCTGAAGACTGGAGCTAAAACTCAGGTCTTCCAACTACTTAGAAGAACCTCACTAGTAACAGTTGGTTTATTCCACCTTCCATTAACAGCTTGATCCCTTTTCCTCTTTGCTATTTCTCAAGCAACACAATGTGGGGAAGACCATTAATGCCAAAGGCACATAAATCCTTAATTACAAAGGCTCTTCTTCATTGAAACAGCTAGAATATTATGGATAAAACATGTTTGAGTAATGATGTAACTTACCCAAAATCTTTCTTCACATGTTTTATCTCATATAGATTACTTTTCCAAATCCATAACTATCATGCCATAAACTTTATCTTAAACTTCACTGTAATGTTTAAGTATTTTTAATATTACTTACCATCAACAGCAGGAGTTCTAGTTGCTAAAACAGCAACTAGGGCAATAGCTATTATAGTAACTATAATAAAGAGTACAATCAGGGAGATTTCTAATCCACTAAATTTCTTCCTTGCCATCTAAAGAAAGAAAAAGAATACATGTTAAAAATGTAAATATATATAAGGACAAAAAGCCACCATCATTATCAATAAATTCATTCCTTTGTTTTTAACTAAGCACAACACAAGCAGAGCTGCAAACAGCTTATCGTGCTAAATGAAATAAGTTAGACAGAAAAAGTCAAAGAGCCATGGTTTCCCTCATTGTAGGATATAAAACTGAAAGCAACAAACAAAGAAGAAAAACAAACAAACAAACAAAAACTCATACACAAAGACAACAGTTTAGTGGTTATCAAAGGGTAAGGGGAGAGGGGGAGAGTAGAAGAGGGTAAATGGGATCAAATACATGGTGACAGGAGGAGAACTGACTGGGTGGTGAACACAATATGATATGTAGATGACGTATTATAGAACTGTACACTTGCAACACCTATGTAATTTTACTAACCATTGTTACCCCAATAAATGTAATTTAAAAAAATAAGGAAATAAATGTACAATATAAATAATATATATTGGAACAATGCAAACACCACATTCAAATTTAAGTAAAAGGAGTGGATTCAGGATATGCATTATAGTAGTACAAAAATCGAAACATAAAGACAATAAAAGATCTCCAAGCAGGTGTGTCTTGCTCTCTCATTTTGGAGTATTTTTTTTGAGTCAAACAAACCTCACATTTGTACTACGTTTCTTAATTCTCACAAATACCCATTCTATAAAGGAGATGCTGTTATTCACATTTTACTCACTAGGAACTTCAAACTTAGAGAAAATAAATAATTAGTCTCAAAGTCAAAAAATCCAGTTCTCCCTACACTATTGCCTCCCAAATTCCAACAGTTTTTTTATAACAAAATTGTGGAATAATTATTAATTTATTTATGTGTGAAAGGATGTAAATATAAATATGTAGAGTGTAAATATAAAATATTGAAAAGAAAAAATATGTGTTATGTGTATATATGCTGTATATACTTGGGAGTGATAGCTTTAAAAAAAAGATTCAAACTATATGATCTTCAAGTTTCTTCCTCAAATAGCAAATAAAATATACCAAACTCTCATGTCAAAAGAATAATTTATTTAAAGATAACGTTATGCATTTGAGCTAGCATACAGAGGGTATCCAAATGTAGATTGGGAAGAGCGCTTCTCTAGTAATTGTCTTAAAGCTTATTTGTTTCATTTAGTTGACCATACATCTCTCATCAAGTTTTTATGGCTTTTTAGTGTTCTATGATTTTTATGTAAATCTTAATTCTAAGGCATATACCCAGATAGAAATTTAGAAGACCCGTGGTAAACGCTTCAATAAATTGCTGGTTTAAAAATAAAAAAAATCTTTGTCCTCTCACATCCTCTCATGCTAGTCCCTCCTCCTATAATTTCCTATGTCAGTTTAAATACCAAGTTGTCCCAATCTAAAAACTTATTTTCTCTCTTCCATATCTCTATACCACATTCAATCATTCAATTAGTACCGCTGATTCTACCTCCAAAATATTTTCAGAATTATACCCTCATCCTATCCCCACAACTACAACTTTTTTTGGATAACATGTCTTCTTAGTACATGCTATTTAATCTTTCTTCAATTCTTCCATATCTGCTCTTCCAGGTTAGTTCCAATTTATGCCCGGCTCCAATGGCATGTCCTTTGTGAATCCTTTACTACTCTTAAAGACAAAAAAAGTATACTTTTTCCATTTTACCATGGCACATAGCATATCTATTACAATTATTATGCATATGTTAATTTCCCCTGTTGGATTGTTGTATTCTTAATAGCAAGAATTGTGAAAGTAGTTCAGAGCCTGATATCAAATAAGTAGAAGTTCAATTTTTTAAATATCTCTTATGAATTAATGTTTGAAGATTACAATAATGTAATTAACACATATGTAAGCTGTTTATTTGTAATCTTCAAAGAACCGAAATGCAAACTAAACTTTACAGGTGAAAAGTGAAACTGCTTAGAAAAGGAATCTCAGTTGCTCAATGTTATATGAGAAATGACATAGTTGCAATTAATATTTAACTTTAAATAAGTTTGTCTCACGCAAAGTAATATCTTAGTTTGGCATCAAGAAGCCAATAAAAATGATTGTGCTTTTCCTTTGTTAAAGGAAGTCTAAAAAATACATACTGTCATGAAGCAAACCCTCTTGTATCTAGAAAATGAGAACCAAGTTAATGTACTAAAATTAAATTACTAAGAAGCACTCACAATCAATACTAAAATTGTTCATATGCTGTAGGTGGTGATTACTGTGATAATATTTTAAATCACAATAATTTTAAGAAAATATTTTTGGGATAATTATATATTGGTATCCTTTTTCTGTATACAGTAAAACCTTGGATTGTGAGTAATGTGGTTTGCAAGTGTTCTGCAGGACCAGCAAACACTTCTAATACATTTTAACGTGGTAAACAAGCGATGTCTTGCAATATGAGTAGTTTGTTTCTGAAACGAATTATAATCACAAACTAAGGTATTATTGCATTTATTTTCAAAATGAGTAAAACTTTATTAGATGGTAGCTTGATGACTGATCTTTCAAAGATTTGCTAGAAAATATTAAGTATTTTATAAATATAGCATTCTACTTTGCCTATATATATTTTCTTAGAAAAAATATATTTAGTCATACTTCATTAGAGTATTTCCCAGTACTTCAAAATATTTTTATCTTCATTTTGTTTCATATAAAGCAATTAAACTAAACCTGCAATGATTCCACTTAAATATGACAAAAAAGTATAATGAAGAGGTGGGCAAAAAAAATATTCTCATATCTTAAAAAAATTTAGAAACATTTTCTCCTGTTTTAGTACAAGGGGCTATATATTTTTAAAAAGCAAATGATAATATGTTATCTTTGACATTTTAAACAAGTGCAAATAGACAGATCTATTGCTAATATAAATTAAAGAAATATAAAATTGCTTGAAAACATGGAAGTAACAAAGGCATATTATCCATAAACTTACCTTATTTCATAGCCTGTTCTGTTTGCTATGTGGTACCAGGGCTGGGTGAGGCTGCCAAAGTAATGATAGTGGGAAATTGCTCAGGAATATATTGAGCTACTCATAAAGTTTTACTGCACTCTCAACCAGCCTATCAGTACTTAAACTTCTGTTCACATGAGATTATAAAAAGCCTTAATCCTGAAAATAGTTCAGGTCAATATTTCCCTCTGGGAATCTAATTTAATTAATGATTATACTTTCAAATAGTCTTTGATTTCTGTAAGCTATGAACTAGCCTAAGAAAATAAAACTTTGTATTTCTATTGTTTTTTCTCATTTCAAATTTTATTTCTTTCATTATTTGAATGTAGTTTTTAAGAATTGCTTTATCTCATTGTGTGAAATTTAAACTCTCACTGGAAAGTAGAAACATATTTGTGAGTTAGAATTTGAAAAACATTTGGAGGAGCTAACAATGAAGAGATATTTCACTAAAAGCAATGATGAATTAAAAGTTATCTCCTGTGACTCATTATTAACGTTAAGGTTGAAAAAATGACCAAATCCATAAGAATATAATGTAAAAGTAGAGATATATATGTATTCCAGAAATAAAATCAACATTTTAGTCATCTATTTATTTATTATGTAAAGCAGTAATTTAATTATCAAAATTATATTGTAAACATTTACCATTTCACATAGTAAAAATTATAGTATGAATTATGCTACTGGTTTAAGCTAGTACAGTGTTTAAGAGCAAAGGGTTCATGTAAGAGAGCTGGGTACAAATGCCAGCTGCACTACATACACTTGAAAAACCATAGGCAAATGAGTTAATTTCTTTAAGCCTAAATTTCTTTATCTACAAAGTGGAAATAAAAATACCCATCCAAAAGGTCACTGTGAGAATTATCTGAGATAACACAGTCTATTATTACTGCAGCTCTGCTATCATGAAGAGAGTACAATTGGACTATGAAATGATTAGTATCTAAGTTCTGTACATCATCTGGCTACTATCTTTTTAAAGGAATATATATTTTTTAAAATGTGTTCACACAGAGTCGAGCAACTAGTTTTTGTAGGCAACCTGAAAGAGTTTAAAGAGAAACAATAAAAGGAGTGCATGCATGGATTACTCTCAGGCTCAGGAGAGATATAAAGAAGAACTTCCAGTATATAAAGAGCAGTGATATGAAAATGAGATGAGAATCATTCTGGAATGGTCTCAATGGACAGAACTAGTCCCATGTAATAAAAATTATGAGTGATTTATTCTCTACGTACAGAGCACGTAGTTACACATGTGGAAAATCTCATTAAATCTACCCAAAACTCCCAGAACCAAGATGTGAGTGTAACAAGGTCACAGGATATAAGTCAGTATGCAATGTCAATCATGTACCTGTATGACAATTGGGAACTGAAACTAAATATAAATATTAAATATATATATATATATATATATATATTTAATAATGTATAATAAATTAATTTAATAAATTATAAATTTCCCCAAACTGAAAACAACCTAGGTGCCCATCCACTCCAGGCATATGCAGACAATGGCATACTACCCAGCAATAAATGTTATGAATATTGATTCAGACAACAACATAGGTAACCTTAAATTCCAGTTAGCTGTTATGTCATCCCTGCAATTTCAGTTTTCTGATTGGTTCAAAATATAGCAATCAATTACCAGTTTGTCCACTCTTTTTCCTTCTTTTAAGAGTAAGAATAAACACTCTTTCTAGCTTCCCACATCTCTGAACTGAAACTGCAAATCTCTGTCAAGTTTTAGTTATCTCTTAGAACTTCTTTTATGTTTAGATACATTTTAAGTAATAGTGTTTGTCCTCTGTCTTTAAAAAGCCTAATGTGATTTGAAATTTTCATACCTTCGATTTCATATCCACAGTCCCCTATCTGGTAGCATGAGCTGGCCTTTGTCTCAAGCAGTTTCTTTTGCTCCTTTTTCCCAGACCCCCTCCCACCCTAGTTCTGGTTCCATTCATTAACCACAACCAATACGGAAGCGATGTGCTCATGAATTGCTTAGAAGGTAATTTCAGACAAAACCGAAGTATAAAGGTACTCCATTACATACACAAAGAAATTATATACAGTAAAGGAAAAAGCATTTTGTACTAAAATAATTTTTGTATTTCAAAGCCATTATCATTCAAACATTTTTCATTTAAGTATATACAAACTGTACAAAATTTTAAAACTGCATGAAGTAAAATAACACCAAAATTGACTTGGTAAGCAATAGGCAAACAAACAAAGGTGTCAACACGAAAAGTGAAACTGAAGTATTCCTGGTCATTGACACTTTCAGCAAACAGAACAGATTAGTGCTCAACTATTCTATTTATACACTTGGTTACACTTAAGACTGTAATTTGCGTTTCAGAATTGCAGACATATGGAGGTTAAATCATGTATGTAAATCATACATTTTGGGTTAAAAGGTACATGCTTTAAATCTTTAGGTTAAAAGTTTCATGCATTGCTAGCCACCAAAATGCAACAGAAGAGGTAAATCTAATTTTCAGTGATACAGAGGTACTTCAAAAGACTAAATCATCAAAAAGATCCTATCTCTGCAGAGACCTGTGAAAAGTCTAGACATAAAATGGCTACATGGGGAGGGGGAAAGGAGGCCCAAGGAATTGTTAAGTTTGTTTGATATGTTGCTGCTAGGTGCCAGAAGCAGGTGTGAATATAAATAGAGAGAGAAACCAAGGTTCCTGCTTTGGGACGCATATAAAACACTGGATGCAAAGGAATCTAGAAGAAGACAAAGTAAGGAGCTACAGGCCAGTACCATTGGAGAGGCCAAGAGGTAAGGGACTATGTGAAGAGCGCCAGAAAAGAAGACAGAGAGGAGTGCTGGTATCCACATCTTGCCTGTCACTGATAAATGACACAGCTGACTCCCAGTTTTTATCTCTAGATCTCACTATTCTTAAAAGCTTCCAACTGGAGTTACCAGATAACTCATCTGCAGCAGATCTAAACTGTGACTAATTACCATTTTCATCCAAATTATTCTTTATCTTAATATCTCTACTTTTCTCCAAGTCAAAAATTTCAATTCCTTTTTATTTAGCATCATATGTAGACAAAATTTTGTAAGTGTTCTCCCCCAATATCTCATGCAATCCTTTCTGTACTGTTGTACAGCACACAGCTGCTGCTGTAATTTATAACTTCAAGCCTAGTAATGTAATTATCCCCTAATGTTCTTTGGGACATCTCACTTTCCCTTAAAGTATCCACTTACCTCTCCGTAAAACAGTAATGCATTCCCAATGCAGTATTCCTATAGCATCTACCTCCTGGAGGTAAAGATCTAAACTTCTTAGCCTCATATTTAAAACTCTGCATTTTGAGTTTGATATTTTATCTTCCATTCTACAATCAACCCACCCTCCTGCCATACCCACCTGCTAAATTCTTCCACTTTCCTAAGCTCACATCTATGCTTATTTGGCCCCGAAGCTGAATTGTCCTTATTTAATGCAAATTGTATCCATCTTTCCAGAACCAGCTGGCATCACTTTTCTTCCAAAGTGACTTTTCAAACCCTTCTTCTTGCCCTCAAAAGCATTAATTTCTCCCCTTTCCCCCTCCATAGCCATGTATTTTCTACTTGAATTACAGTATTGTCTTAGCTTGTCTCATATAAAGCTATCCATGGATGCTTCTATAGCTCACATGAGACTGAGGACACTTAGAGAGCAAGGACAATGTCTTCCTCACATTTACTTAATTCACCATGCCACACACAATGGTTTTCATGGGCTAAGATATAACAGTGACTGACAATTGTACGCCTATATCAATTCTCCCTCATCAAAGCCTACCAACCAAAGACCACCAGGAGCACAATTGTAGCCAAACAAGGAAGACCAGGCTGTCTTAGTTAGATAAAGTTGGGAGGGCTTTGTTATAGAGTTTGGACTTGTGCTCAGTGAATATAAAGAGCGATTAGAAAAGGAGGGACTAGGTTTGGCTTGGATTACGTCCAGAAGTGAGGACAATTCAACACTTAGGTATCAGAGTCTTTGTTTAAGAAGTGGAAAGAACAAATTGGAGCTGGGGATGGCACTTGTAATGAAGCAGTAACACAGTCAAAAGTCATTATTTGCAACAATTATGGCCTATTAAAAGCATTCTTTATCACAGTCTCACCAGCACTGCCTACTATTCCATTTTCTTTCTTTTATTCCTTTTAGTGACAGACTCTCCTAAATTTAACAGGGTACATGTCTATCCATCTACAGGCTACATTTTCCAGTCTCTCATGATGCTTTCAAAGGTCAAGTAATTCTAATTTTTTCTGTGTGTAACTAAATTCTAGTCGTGGGATGAACCCAGAATTCACACATACAACTTCCACGTTACATTTTTAAGAAAAAAACTGCTTGCCCTCCACATCCTCTATTTAATGTTTTCTCTGAGCCAAGCACACTGTGGCTCTGTAAGTCGGCTCTGACCATGGGTTCCCCAGGTGGCAGCAGAGTGACAGTTAGAAGAGTCTTAGATTCCTGGTTCACCTTGTGGGCCAAAGCTACCTATCCACCCTAGATCATTAACTGTCTTCTGAACTATTCAATGAGAGGGAAATAGTCTTATTTGCTCTGAGCCAGTGGATATTTAAGTCTTTTATTAGAGAATTTTATACTCACCTAACACAATGGTGAGAATAGATACTGGCTATTGAATTATGAATTCTAATGATGAAATGTTAAGCATGTCCATTGTAGATCAAAAGGTTGCTATCTGGATTATGAATATTATCTATTACCTCCTCTGGCCTTCCATTATATGTCTTGTCAAGTACTTTCACAAATCAGGAAACTTCATGTACACATAAACTGCATAAATAGCAAAGACTAATAGCATCACTATAAATAATTATAAAATGGAATGAAAACTGAAATGGGGTCTCACTCATGATTTGCTATTTTATGGGAAAAGTTTTATTTGTCTTTGTAAAGTCTGCATTCTTGTGATACAAACTGTGGAATTGGATGGGGAAGAGCTGGT